AGAACTAAAAAGAAGAATTTAAAATTTGGCATTTCTTAAATATTAGAAATAAGCTAAACAAAACTTTCAAAACTTGTAGCTACTAACAAACTCTAAGTCAAGAATGACTTGACATTCTTCAGTAATGTAATATGCCAAACAAAATGATGCCTGGAAATGTTGAAAATTTTGTTTAGTATCCTAATATTTTACTTCAAATAGTATGTTTTGATATAATCATGCTGGGAAAATGCAAGAATCTGTTCTTAAATATCTTTTAACAACTTTTTTTCTAATTTTATTGCCTAAAATGAATTAATTTTAAATTACAAGCAGTTAAACTCAAATAAAAATACAGTTTTACCAAAACTATGGGTTTTTGACAGTTTTTGACATGACGGTAAAAACCATGGTATAAACCGGTAAAAACCGTCATGAGTCAAAAACTTGCCAACCCTGCTAGCATTCTTGTGCACCTTTAAAAAATTTACGTGGTTTGGATAAATTTAGTCCAGTCATACTAATGTGTCAATGCTTGATGTTATTCTTGACATGATGCATAGCGTTTTTAAAAAGTGCTTAAAGGTGATTATTTCCAATTTTCGTTTTTTAAAAGCCCTAAAGGTGCTTTTTTCATTAGGTGTTTTTAAAAAGTGCTTAATTTTCCCTTTTTGAAAATGAGATATTTTTCTTTACCGTGTAGATTTTCGCCATGTATTATGCAAAAGCGTGTTTTTCACATTGTTCTATACAATGTTTTCACAATTAATTTCGCTAACCTTTGGTCCACAGCGTGTCAAAGCGCCAATCATTTTACACGTTTGATGAAATACTTGCGAGTCCGCATGTGCGTCTACTGAGCTGAGTTTGGTGAAATTCTAGCACTCTCATGTGCAACTCTGCTGCATTTTGCAAGATATTCTCATTTTCAGGTTTCATTTTACACCCTCTGAAATCAAACCGAAAAGTCTCTCTATCTTTTAATGGCGGCTAATATAATCAAGAAAAGAGTTCTTTGTCAGAAACTAGTTGTTTTATCATGATCATGTAAAGTCTTTGAAAATTAGTTTGCATTTTGTTAATGTATATTGTGGCTAAAAATATTTTTTGAGTGCTTAAAAAGCACTTAAAAGGTGCTTATTTTTTGTTGAAAGATTTGACTACGCACCCTGCTTGATGTTTTCGCCAAGTATTGATTGGAACTTCCTCTTGGAATGTACTAAAAATGAAGACACTTTATCACCAATTTTAAAATTTCTTATTTATGAAGAATTAATAAAACACAACTCAACACAATTTTTCTATATGTTCTTCTAATTCTTCAAATTAGAAGAACATATAGAAAATCTGTCATTCTTCAATTTAATTCTTCATACTAATGTCAATTAAAAAAATGTGCTATAGGTTTGAAAATTAGACAATTTTTAAATACTGGAAATGTTCTAAAATATTCTTTATGGTTTCTGTCAATTCTAGTATTTTTAAATATTTTTTTGTAAAATTTTTTAATAAACAGAGGCTCTGAGGAAAAACAATGACATGATGCATCAGCATTTGAGTAGCACTCAATCTTGGCACAATCAACTGACGACTACCATGTCAAAACAGCAACTAGAATTAAAAGAAGCTCAACAAAAAATCAAGGAATTAGAACAGGAGCTTCAGAATAAAATAAAAGAAGCAGAAGAGAAGAAAAACAGGATAATAAGAGTAAGTGATGAATACTTAGTGTTAAATTATAAATATATATAATTTTCCCATTGATAAATATACATGATTTTCTGTAAAGACAATCTGTTTTTTGTAATGTTAGAATATTAATAAAAAGGTTAGTTAAAAAATTACTTATTTGTAGTCAGTTCAATATTTAAGTGAGAATGAAGGGAATGCAGTCCTTTACTGATTAATAATATTTTTCCCCCCTTGAATAATTAATATCTGTTTTTTTTTTATCAAATAATTAAGGTATAAATAAAGGTATGTTAGAATTTTTTACCAAAAATTTGTAGCGTTTTTTTTTATATCTCTTAAACTTGTTCAAATTTATTTTATAATGCCTCTATTTTTTTCAGATGAAAATTAATTTACAAAAATAAATCTTGCTATGAAATTTAAAGACAATGTTTATGAATAACAATAGTTCTGTTTTTGAATCATACCTGACAGGGGAAATTTTTTTCTTTCGGGGGATTAATTTAAAATTTTTTTTAAAGAAATCCCAAATAAAGCTTGTTATCTTGTAACCAGTAGAACAATGTTATTTTTTTTAAATAAAAATTTATTTTCTTGGATAGTATCTTTATCTTTTTTTGTTCTTTTTTTTTGCAGGATAGCATATCCCCTCTTAGTGATGAAGAAGTGGATTTTGAAATAATTAATCGTAAGGAAATAAAGGTAATTTTAGTTGTAATTTTTATTTTTGTAAACAGTTTAAATTTTTTATTATTTCCTTCCTCATCCTANATTAAATTATAAATATATATAATTTTCTCATTGATAAATATACATGATTTTCTGTAAGGATAATCCGTTTTTTTTGTAATTTTAGAATATTAATAAAAAAGTAAGAAAAAAAAATACTTATTAGTAGTCAATTCAATATTTAAGTGAGAATGAAGGGAATGCAGTCCCTTACTGATTAATAATATTTTATTTTTCTTGAATAATTAATATCATTTTTGTTATTGAATAATTAAGGTATAAATAAAGGTATGTTAGAATTTTTTATAAAAAATTTGTAGTGTTTTTTCATATCTCTTAAACTTGTTCAAATATATTTTATAATGCCTTTATTTTTTTCACATGAAAATTAATTTTTAAAAAAATAATCTTGTCATGAAATTTAAAGACAAAAAGACAATGTTTATGAATAACAATAGTCTTGTTATTAAGTCATACCTGACAGCGGAGGAAGGAAAATTTTTTTTTAGAAGGTTTAATTAAAAATTGTTTTAAAGAAATCCAAAATAAAGCTTGGCATCTTGTAACCAGTAGAACAATGTTATTTTTGAAATTAAAATTTATTTTCTTGGCTAGTATCTTAATATTATTTTGTTCTTTTTTTTTACAGGATAGCATTTCCCCTCTTAGTGATGAAGAAGTGGATTTTGAAATAATTAATCGTAAGGAAATAAAGGTAATTTTAGTTTTAGTTTTTATTTTTTCTAAACAGTTTAAATTTTTTATTAATTCCTTTTTATCCTATTTTATGGTTGACTGTTTTCATTTTTTTTATTATCAAATTATTTATTAATTGTTAAAATTGCTTAAGCATAAAAAAGCCATGAAAATTTTAAATTTATGATGATATAATTATGTCATTTTTTTAAAAAGGAATCTTAAATTTAGCTGCTATAATTTGTAACAATTCTGCTAAAAATATCAGAATCTGATGCTTCAAATTAAAGTATCCCACTTCCCATACCTGTAGTTGCATATGATTTGAAATGTTTTGTTTCATAAATTAATTTTTTAATTCGTTAACTGTTTGAGTGCTTACTCACTTGAATACTGAATATATCTGATTCTTTTTGATATTTTGTTAACTTTTTGACTTTCTATAATACTTTTTTAGTAAAATTTTAATTTAAGGCACTTGGCTGGAATGTTTCGAAGCAGTTGTGGCTAAAATATTTTTTCTCTGATAAACTTTTACTGTATTTTTTGGGAAGTTAAACGAGCTACATTTTTTTCTTTCCTTAATTTGAACTACTTTTGTATGTTTTTGAAATGCTATTGCTTGCAAATTTATTTATTTTTAATGGATACTTAAGCAGGGGATAACGGACCCTTCAGAAACTGTTTTAACTTAAAAACGGACCCTTCACAAAATATTTTATTTTGAAACGGACCCTTTACAAAATAATTTATCTTTTAATCGGACCCTTCACACATTTGTTTATCTTCATTATTGTTTTGTTAATCGAATAAACCCTTCCCAGGGAGTGGGAGAAAGACAGGTGTAAACGAACTAAGTTTTGTCTTCGGCAGACGCTTCTTCATTTATTCGTCCGAAATTAATATTCTGCGTTCAGCAGTATAGGCTAAATATCAAATAATTATTTGTTGCATCTTTAATTTAGTAGCAGCAATTGCTGTTTATTTTTGAAAATTAAATTTTTTTAAATTATAATTTTACAGTGAAGAGCATATTCTTGTATCGATTTACAATTTAATAACTCCTTGAAAAAGTTTTTTGCAATAACACGACCCTATTTGCACAAATTCACAAAAGCAAGACCTTGGTTGAAAGAATGTGACTTAAGATTTATTTTATATTCGCAAATTACGAGTAATTTTTTCACAATTTTAGAAAAACAGGACCTTTCACAAAATGTCTGGGCAGACCCCTGTTAAGTAAGCTCTTATTCTGAAATATTTTTATGTATTTAAAAATAAAAATCAATTAAGTTAAGAGAAATGTCTTTCAAATACACTATTCCATGATTGTTTATTTTTTTTTCTTTTCAAAATTCAACTTTTTAAAATGGAGTTACGAGGCGTATTTACTACCACCTTATTAGATGAAATTACTCCCTGTGAATAATGATGTTTAAAACTTCTTAAAATTTCATTTATTTTATACATTATCATGGGTTTTAGGAAAGTATTAAAAGTAACATGAAATATAAACATCTTAATCAATTCAATAAATCCATGTTTAAGGACTTGAAAATATGTATGAAATGTTTTTGCTAATGTATAGCTGCCAAACCTTTCCTCATTTTGCAGAAGCTTTCCGCACTTTTACTCATTTTAGTTATTTTTTACGCTCAGAAGATAAGATCTTCTGCATTTTACCCGCCCGCCCGATAGCTAGTATTTTCTTTCAGTCAGACTATATCGACTATACCCCTCAGCAATTCTGAATGCGATAGGGTGTTTTCTGTAGTAAAAAAAAAAATAGGACTCAATTCCACTCATCGATGTCTGATGAGACTCTCAAAAAACTTTTAATAATTAAGTCTAAAGAAGGAATACTTTGTTTTGAAAGAGATTTTTCTAAAGAATTTTTAGTAAAAGCAAAAGATGTTACTAAAGCATCTTTGCAAAAGAACTTTTTTTTGATGTCATTCTTTTTCCATAATTTGTATTGAGTTAATATATAGTGCATACTATTATAGTGTAATTAAACTAATGTTAATATAAGTCTTAAAATATTATATATTTCCCTTTAATCAAGAATTAATAAATGAATATTGTACCCTCAAGTAGCTGGTCAAAAGTTTTTAAATTTTTTTTCTTCCTTATCTTGTTTTTAAAACAATATTTTTTCTTAAAGATAAATTCATTAGTATAGTATGCAGTTGCGAATCTTCTGCAGTTTTAGGTATTTCTTCTGTATTTTTTTTTTCTTTTGTCTATCTTCTGCATTTTTATAACTAGAGGTTGGCCGCTATGCTGATGTTATGACATTAATTTAAAAGGCTGTTCTTTTTTTTCCTAATGACCTTTATTTATTATTATTTTTATTATAGAATTGCATTCAAGTCTAGATGTAGATATTTATTTATTTGCATTAAACTTTTTTTTTTATAACTTTTTTTGTAGACTTGTCTAGTTGACATTAAGTGCCTTCTAACTGCTAATCTAATTAATTATGAAATCTGTGCTAATAAGCAGTAGAAATAATGCTTATTTTATTGCACACAAAAATCATTATTTTAAACAAATAAATTGTTTTATTTTCTTATAAAAATTATATTTGCATGTTTAAAAAGAGAAACCCTGGAAAGTGATTTTACTGCAGTTTTCTGACATTGCTAAAGTTTTTAATTAAATTTCCAGTTACAAAAAGCATGCAAAATTTCAAATTTAGAATTAGAATTATTAGTCTAATTTTTATAACAAAACACCCTTTAATTTCTTTGTTTAGTTAATGAGTATTCTTTGTATTGTAATGTTAAATTCTGTTGTTTCTCTCTTCTGTTTGACTAAATTTTCTTAGCGAAACTCTAAAAAATTCAAAGAAACGAATTTAATTTAAAAAAGAAATTAAACTCTTTTGTAAAATTTAAGTTAAAAATGCTATTTTTCTTTCTTTCTTAGTAATTAGTATATTTTATGCTTAATTTTACCAGAAGTCTATTGAAATGTCAGGTTAAGTTTTTTTCAACCCTTATGAGAGGAACACTAGTTGCCCATTTTGGTAACATGATAACAATTAGTACAATTTGTAACATGCAAATAGTTCTTTTTTTATTGCTTTTGCTGGCAATAGTACATTATGAAGGTTTATGTTACTATATTTATTACTTTACTTAGTTATTTAATATTCTGTAGAAAATGGTTGATGAATCCAAATTGAAGCAGGCTGAAGATAAAATATCAAATCTGATCAGAGTAATTGAAGATCAGAATAAGGAAGTAAGTATAAACAATTATATAAACTACAAATCATGAATTTTTTTACTCATTCATCATATTTTTCAGTACTATTTTATTTTTTAAATAGTCAATGTTTAATTCTGAAAAAGTGCAATTGTTGATAACAGTTAAAAATCTATTTATTGATTTGGAAAAGTAGTTCAAAATTATTTTTTTCATTTCTTTTTGTGCTTTAACTGTCCTTCATATTTGTATAAAAGTTTCTCTTCTGAATACAGCTTTCCGTTACATGTCATAATTGAAAAATAATTTATATTTCTCTCTGATCTCAGTTCAATGTCATTTGTTTTGTAAAATTTATTAATAATGGTTAATTGATTTAACTCATTTCATAATAATTAAAAGTGATTATCTCTAAGCATTCTATAGGTAACTTTAAACACATTTGTTTTTCAATAAATTGAAAATGAAACTTGTAGAATTGTTTTGCCATAATGATCTACTTCTTATTTTTAAGAAAAGTAATTTTTTGGAGTTGTAAGAAACATTAAAATTGAAAATATATTTTAATAAAATATAGTATATTTGTGAATATGTATTAACGTTTCTATATTTTGCTTTCATCATCTTATAATTTCCATTCCTAATATCTGTAAAGTAGCCTAGAATTTTTGTCAAAATATATTTATATAAATTTTTTAGAAACTTTTGAATTTAAAATTTTATTAATATTCCCCCCCCCCAAAAAAAAAAACAGGAATGCACTTGTTTTGAAGTTTTAATAAATTGTATTGCATTGAGGACATTGTAACAAAACAGTACTTTGCTGTGAGAATTTTTTTTAAAAGATATAAAAGTTTACTGAATCTACTCATTAACATCGATTTAGAGTGAAACATAATTGAATCAATTAATTATTCTTACTTATAAGTATATTTTAATTAAGTAATGACATTTCCTAATAAATTTTTAAAATGATCATAAAAAAATCTTAAAATTTAGAGTTCAGCTTGAACACCTGAAACACACAAAATCCAATATTTTGTGCTAAAAATAAGTGTAAATTTTAAATACGAAAAACCATTTTTTTTACTTCCCAAAAAGAGAAAAAAAAGAAAAAGATTTTGAACAAGGTACTTTTTGAATATTCCATAAAGAATTCAGGTTAAAAAGCATGGACTATTGTTATTTAAACTAAAGATATTTTAAATAGTGATTCCTGGAGTTTATAAAATTTTTATTCTATAAATTTATAAGAAAGACTAGTATGAATTTATGTAGCTATAGTAGTATTATAAATATGCATTTTTTATTAATTGGAAATTAATGTGTTACCAAAAAAAATTTGTTGCTTTCTGTTAAATGTTACAACTATTAATCTTTATTTGAATGAGTAAGCATATTTCAAATTTTATTTCTGTTCATAAAACCTTTTTTTTCCATACAGATAGAATCTTTGAAGAAGTCAAATGAAAGTGAAGCCACGTAAGTATAACTTAGTGTTATAGATAATATATTCTTGTATTAATTATTTATGAAATGAATGTAAGAATCTAAAATACAATCAAACCTTTTTAACCTGAATAAGCTTAACACGAATTTGTTTTAAAGTGAGCTAATTTTAGATACATGGTCAAATTGTATGATTCTTTAAAGTAGTTTTAGCACGAATGCACTTGACCTGAAATGTCTTTTAATGTAAACTTGAATTTCATTACCCTTGAAAAAAATTTTACTTATATTTTTGAACAGAAAACTTATTTCCTCTCCGACAGGCAATAGAAAACTGATCATTCACAGTTTTATATCTATATGAGTGAGTTTTTTGAATGCTTTGTTATAGTGTTGTTAATTGTAAGATTATCACAGTCAAATGGAATGGAATGTGATAATCAAATGATGATTATCACAGTCAAATGAAAGAGTTGTATGGATTGAATCTGTTGAGAGGGACTGGATATTACGGGAAACAACACACATTATAAATTGAGTTTTCTTTCATGTCTGGGTGTGAATGCAAAGAAGCATGTTTTCCTCAGTAATGAACATCTATATTTATCTTTCAACTTGGGTAGTCATTTCTCCATACACTCTTATAGGTTGTTCTGAGAAATTGTTATGGCCGAATTGCATTTCTACTGGAGAAGACAAGTGTAGTTAAAATATTTCTTAAATTTCACTGGCAAATACTTTGGTTTAGTTTCCTTTTATAGATTCTTACAACGCAATTAAAACTGTTCTTTCTTTTATAATGCAAAAGAGAAATTCAAATCATTTTTTAGATCCAGTTGATAAGTTTAGAAGATTTTTAGAAAGTAGATGTGTGAATAAGAAACCAAAACAGCAAGCTGTCAGTGATTGTTTTATTAGCAATCCTCTCTAATTGTATAATAAATCAGTTTACTTCTATTAGTTAGTTACTTTTCTGTAATTTTTAATTTGCAACAAATAGAGCACTAAAAGTTCATTTTCGTAGAACTTGAACTACTTTTAATGTGAAAAATTTTTCTGTCTCTCATTGAGTTGACTTTAACAAGGTTTGAGTGTACAACCAATAAAAATGGTAATTTGTATTGCTAAAGTAATTTATGTCTTTTCATTAATTATTCTTCAGATTTTATTTACAATTTTTCTTCTTTGCATTGATATTTTACTGTTCTAGGCATAAATTATTTATATTTTTGATTTAGTTGTTTTTTTTTGTTTTATAATTTTTTTAGTACACTTTTGAAACAAATCCTAGCAGGAAATGATTACCTTTTGTTTAAATTAAATTTTGAATTTAATTTATCCTCCCTTGTTTACCCTCTAAACTTTGTCTTGTTAAATGCATTTTTTCAATGCATAACATGGGGAAAAACAGCTTTCTCTTTCAGAAAAGCAGTCAGCTTAAAATTTTGAAAATACTAATGGTTATTATAATGCCCAGCCTTTAATTTGATAGTATCAGTACCTGAGGATTTTGATACCTATAAAGGGTTCACTTACCAAACATCAATTTTGCATAAAAAATGTGAATGATAGTGGGCTCCACTGCATAATACTAAATGAAGCAATCCATAAAAGATGCTTGTTTGGTTTGCTTTCCATGCTTGCTAAGTTAAGCCCATATGGTATGTGCTCTACCATAAAATCTTGTGAATTTAAATCCATTAATAAAATTTTTAAAATTGGTTCCTCTTTCAAAATTAACATTTTAGTCTCTAAGCAATTAAAAAAAAGTTTAAATTGAAATGGATGACATGAATGGGACAAATTTTGCTGAGGAAAATAATTATGATTTTAAAAAACATGTATGATCACACGTCTCTGACGCATTCTTTCATTGTTACATCTATCATCAATGTTTTTTTAAGCTCTTTTTGAATATTCAAGCATTATTATTTTTATTCTCTAAAAGCATAATAGCATGACTAATACTAATTTTTCAATGCACAATAATAACAATGAATTAAATTATTATTGAACCTGCATAAATGTAATTAAAACACAATATAAATATTTCTTGAATTGGAAACCAGTTTGCTTATATGAAATTTAATGCAAAAAATGAACAATTTTTAATGGGTATGTAGAATAATGACAGGTGAATGGCCAGAGATAATTGTATTGTGGGATAAATTCGGATTTTTCGCTAAGTGTGATCCAGAAGTTTCAGGAAAAATCCAAGGTCTGGAAGTTTCAAGAAATAATTCATCACATTAATGTATAAAAATTCCTGTATATTTTATTTAGAAATATTAGAACTAGAATTTATGCTTGGTATTTATTTCATTTGTAGATATTTTTTCTGGTATAATAATAAATGTGATTAGATATAGATAAATGTAATGAAAGTAAACTTATTATTCATTTAAATTATACTGCATATAATTTATTTCGAATTTCATGTTTTGAAAACATCAATAATTTAAATTTATAAAGACATTAATTTTTTGGTATGCATCATTAATGATTTTACTCAAGAAATTTTCAGTATTTTTGAGTTGGGCTCACAATCTTCCCTGAAGGGGCTGAACTAGGTCAAATTTTAAAAAAAGGAAATGCAGGTGTGCCTTCTTTATTCTTTAAAATTGTTTCATTATCAGATGCAAAGAATCCTTGCAAAGTCAGGAGGCATCTAGATCAAATGCATTGATTCAACAACTGGAAAAGAGGGTGAAGGAATTGGAGGAATCCTTAACTGTGGAATCAGCAAATCTTGAAGAAGAAAAGTTTGTATATATATATATATATATTGCTATTTTCATGTTGTATATAGTATATTGTTTATATTAGGAACTTTTATAATGAGTTTGTCAATGAATGCAATTCTACTATAATCTCTCAGGAATTTAATTTAAACTATGCATAGAACTTTAAAATTCTTATATTGAAGTCCTATTTTCTTAAGATCTCTTGTTTTCCATTAAATTTTTTTCCTCCCATTTGTGACTTATTCCCAATTTTTATAATTTGTTTTAAAATTAGGAGAAATTTTTTTTTGAGAGGAAGTAAACTTGTTTATTTGTTTTGTAATTAAATTCAAATAAATCTTTTTTGTTATAGTTTTACAAGCATTATTAATCTTAAGACTAATAAGTTTTCTAAAACTGGACTTTACTGCTAAAAAAAAAAAAACTTATCAAATAAATATTTCATTTTGCACTTTGATATTATTTGTAAAAATCTGTGTTACTGCTTTAAAGTTAGCTTTGTGTTTACAGAAATGCATCTCTATATGTTGGCATGATTATATTTAATTATTTCTTTTTATTTTGCAAAAGATTAAAAATTAAGTACATTAAAAGCTTTGCATTATTAGAATTATAAAAACAGATTTTTTCTTCAGATTTTTCTTAAAACTATGAAATTGTGCTTTTAAAGCAATTAAATTGTGCAGTTATATATTTTAATTGGTATTTACACTATACATATATCTGTTCTTATATTGTTTCTTTTTAATTAAGTTTTTTAAAATTTGTTTAAAATGTTAAAATTTAATTTTGAATGATGTTGATAAATGTTCTACATTATGCAATATATATATTTATAAAATTTAAATGTAGACAAATATAAAATACTCAGTTATCTTTCTAATTAATTATCACTTATCTTTTTAACTCGAATTTTTTTTTCCGAAATTATTCTGATTGCAAAAATATATTCCAGAAGAATCTTTTAAAATCATAAAATAATGGTCCTTATGCTCCGTGATTTGATTAGGTAGCATCTTTACATTTTACATGTTTTAAAAGATACTGTCAAGTAAATTATAACCATCAGTTTTATTATTAAAATTGAATTAAGATAATTAAAAGCACATTTAAAGTTTTTCTCCATCTGCACCCCTGTGATAGTTGAATTTCGCAGCAAAGGAAGAAACCTCTTATTTTCGCACACCTTTAACAAATTTATAGAGCTATTTTCTTGCTAAGTACCAAACATCAATAAAAACAAATTTGCTATCCTAAAAATCAAGCAAAATGTTGAGAGAAAAAATATATTTAGTATCAAGAAAGAAAAAAGTTCTTTTAATGGTGATTTTGACTTCACTGATGACATATTTATTTGAACTCTTTAGTCCTATATTTTGTAGAAGAAAAAAATACCCTTTTTATGTTAACAGAAATATATGTAGTATTTTTCTCATTCATTCATTGTACTTGAAATAAACTTTCTCTGTAAATTCTGGTTCCTGCTATTATTGTGCTGATGTTTTAACTAATATGATACAATATTTAGGTCTTGCCACTTAGAAACTAAGAAAATGTTTGCCACGGTACAAACCAATTACGATAGAGTTACAAAGTTGTTGCAGATTCAGTCTAGAGATGAAAAAGACAAGGTTTGCATTTTTTCTTTTCCTACAATAAATGAAAAACAAAAACAAAAAATTTCGCAATTGTTTTTTTTTTTTTAACCCCTTTTTTACTCGCCCCCGTGAAAATGACGGGGTGAGGTTTTGCCCTCTATTTCTTGCTCTCGTGATATTTCCGGGCTGGAGTGTTCAGTAGTAACGCGCCAATAGGAAATAAAACTAATTCATTTCTTTTGCCCAAAAAACATTTTATTTCTCATTTTACACACCAGGTGGCAGTGCCTGGATATTTTTAAGGTCATTGTAGATGTAGGAAGGAAACCAGGATGTAGGAAGGAGACTCGATACTACTGTCCAGATTGTGACTTTGGCCTCTGTATCTCATGCTTTGAGATTTATCACAGGAAAAAATTACTAATCTTTATTTATATTATACGTAAGTTTAATAAAATTCGTTTTTAACGTTTCAAACACATATTTTTTAAATTTTACTTACTTGCTGAAAAACCAACATTAAGTCACATGTTGATGTGACTTCATGTGCAGATGTGTGCAGAATGTTGGGTTTTCCTAAAAATTTAATTTTTTAAAATTTCAAGCTAAAAACAAATCAAAAATTAAAAATGAATATATATATTGTTCATACACATATTTTTATATAATTTTCAGGGATTAAAAAAAAGGTCTCTTTTATGACCGTTTTCTTGAAAATTAACTGATCGTTAAAGGGTTAATATCTCATAGATATATTGTTCATACACATATTTTTATATAATTTTCAGGAATAAAAAAAATGGGCACTTTTATGACCGTTTTCTTGAAAATTAACCGATTGTTAAGGGGTTAATATCTTATTAATTTTAGTCTTTGTTTACTCTAAATGTGCAAGTATTCATTTTTACAGTTTTCATTTTTACAGTTTCAGCAAAATAAATGAATAAACCAAGTTTTTTTTAAAAAAAAGTAATGATAATGTTAAATGGTGGGAATTCTGATTAAACAGTGAGGACTTGGGTAAAACAGGATTTGGAAACTAAGGTTAAGAATTCAGGGTTTTGAAGCAGCACATAGTCATAAATTCTCCAAAATAAAGCAACTGTTGGCTACCATGTCACTTTTAATGCTATTATGTACTTGGAAATTCTCATTGATGAAGTATCATTGCTGCAAACAACGTCAATATTTTTATTTTAATAAAAAGTAAATATTCTAATAAAAACTGGATTATTATTTTTTTGCTTTATTCTTTTGTTAATATTATGTACAATTTTTCATAATTTGAACCATGATTTTCATAATAATAAAACATTTCATAATTTTTTATTATATCTTGCAAGTTACATACTATAATACAGTAGAGAACCAACTATCCGGTATGCTCGGGACCATCGCTATCCCGGATGTCAGAATTTCCCTGTTTTCTGGATCGACCAAAAAGTGTCGTTATCAATGTATTAATGAACCCGAATTACGAGGAAAAAGTGTAAAACGTTTTTAAGTCAGAGAAAAAAGAAAAGCACTCCTAAATTTAAAAAGAAAAAATGGTAGAAAAATAACATTTAAAAGAATTTAAAAAAATTGCAAGTTTAGACCAGAAAAACAAGTTTTAAAAATACAAATTTCTCCTATTTATTTTTTAAAAATAATTACAATTCCTAAATTAGCTAATATAAATAAAACCAATGATTAAATAACGCAATATATTTCATACCTAATTAAGCAGGGGGAAAATGATAAAATAAAAGGAAAATTTATTAATCTAAATAAAAACAACGACAATTATCAAACCGAAAAGATAGTTGAAAAGAGGCACTATCACTAACATAAATATTAATACCCGGAACAAGGCAAGATCAATAAGATCAACGCAATTAAGAAAAGAAAAAAACTAATGATAAAATTTATGAATAAAAAGAATTAATTTATGGAGTGCGAAATTTATCGTGAAAAAAGAAAAATCAAACGTAGTGGAATCAGAAAAACAAAACTGCAATCTGTTTCATAAAATAATCGTATGTTTAAATTAATAAACAATTCTCATTTTTTTTTTATTTTTATAAAAACACGATTTTTAACGAAAGTAGATGCGATTCCACATCAAGAAAAACTTGCAAATGATACCGCACTTCCAAAGAATCAGAATTTTTTCGAAAGAAAAATATTTTATTTTTCTTAATTGATGTCAAAAATATAGATATATCTTTCATCTTCTGTTCAGTGACATACTTGTGCAATGCATTTTTCCCACCCCCTCGTAAATCAAAGAGTAAACGAAATCAGCATGCCACTCCTTTGAGTTTGATTGACGGCCTAAAGATGAAAATAAAACATTCATCCCTTTCCTGTCTTCTCTTCGTCTGAAGATCTTCAAGGTCACGGAAGAAATGACGTTTCTCTGGGTTAACGGGGGGGGGGNGGGGGGGGGGGAATTCTCCCCTTCCTCACATTTTCCTCTACTCAACTTCAAAGATGAGTCCAATTTCCGCTTTTTTTCATAATTGTTCTAGTTTGAAATTTCGGTTAAACTGAGCAAAATTTTCCCCGGTTATCTGGATACCGGATAAATGGTTCTCTACTGTAGTATAAAAATATTAATTTTATGACTTTCATTCAATTTTTGGTCAAAGATGTTAACTATTTATGAATGAAGCTATTGATCTTTTACATTTCAGACTGCAAATGATATAGAGCGAGAAATGGATACAAAGATGTATTTAGAGCAAATTGATCAACTCACTGCAAAACTATTAGATAGTGAGCAGAAAATACAAGAATATGAAGAAAGGAATAAAGCTCTCACTTCTGAGTTGAACACTTTAAAAGAGGATTCAGAAACTATCCCAATACTCAAAGCCCAGGTACTTCTTTATTTATTTAAATTTTGAAATGTAGAACAAATATTTTTGTCAATGTGTTAACCATAAGTTTATATTGTTGTTTATATTGTTGTTTTTACTGAAATGACTCTAATATCAAGTTAATTGGTTTATAACCATGTACAGTAGAGAACCGATTATCCGGAACGATCGGGACTATCGCTATTCCGGATAACTGATTTTTCCGGTTTTCTGAATCGCTACAAAAAGCCGTTTTTTTAGTGTTAAACCCAACTAAAAAAAATTTTTTTTGGAAATAATCTTAGAAATAAGAAAAAACAATGAGGTAATACACTAATGATTATTTCTGAAATGATGGTAAGGTAAACATCTTTCAAAAAAGAAAGAAAAATCCTAAAATCTTATGAGGAAAAAAAATTTTTTTTTAAAAAATTGCGGGAAAATTTATCGAATTTCGTTCCGGTTTTTTGGTTTTCCGGTTTTCTGATTTCCGGATAATGGGTTCTGTACTGTATAATTAAGATTTCCAAAGGAAAGCATTTTGTTGAACCTCAAACAGATTTTCTATTTTTCTCATCATAACATGAGTTGATATTTAGATGGTCTTAATGTTTAGTTTAAAATTAATATTTTAAAAATAGTTTTGAGTTATGTATATATATATACATAACTCAATTTTTTGTTAATTGATATTTAACAGCTCATTTTTTTGTTAATTGATATTTAAAAAAAAATGGTTTCTTTTAATACAACAGTGTTGTCCCAACAAACATTTTATGAAATAAGGGAATACACTGTCGCCGTTTACATTTTGTTCAATTGTATTGGTGACTTTATAAAGTTAGGGTAACAAAATAGATGAATAATTGTAAAAATTTGAGTGAGATGAAGTTGCAATTGTAATTCTAAAAAAATATTTAGATATAAATTTTATTCCAATTGAAAAGGAAACTAAATTGTGTTAATACAATATTAACATTGTTGTCTTTTGTTGAATATTATGTAATTTTTATGTAGAAATTTTTGTTTTTAATAAACAAAATGATTGCAAAGTATTTGTGGGGTTTCGTAAGCAAAGCTGGCATGGAGTAAGCTTTCTTTAACTGGTCTAAGACCATGTTTTTGTCATGAAATCTCTACTGGGACTTTATAAAGTAAAATGTTATATAAGTTCTTTTTAGAACAAAATATCTAATTTTTCTTATTGTTTTTCTTTTTGCTGCGTTATTAAAATTTTGAACAAAGTTATAAAAAGAGTGTGTATTTATTAGGCTGAAGTTTATAAAATGGATTTAGAATCGGCTTCTTTAGCCCGTGATGCTGCTAAAGAAGAAGTGAACAGATTAGCTCAGCAGTTACATGAGGTGGGGTCTGCTTCTTGTTGTGATAGCAGGTATGTATAACTATCTCCAACTTTAAAGTTTCCTAGAAGATTGAAACTTATCAGTATTTCTTTTATTATAATTATTATTAATATTTGTGTCAAATTATTCTTATTTATTAATTACTTGTATTAATTATTATTCTTGTTTAAATATTAACTATTCTTCATATTAATTATTAATTTATTGTCATATTATTATTATTAATTATTATTTATGCATAGAGTCCCACAGTGACATGTTTAGATTTAGTTTAATAATGATTGCAAGTTACGGTTCCCAGTAGATCAACCCAAGTCAAGCATCACTGTTATGTCAGTGATGCTTGATTGTGGTCAGTGGTCAGAAGATGAGTGGATGACCACTTTGATTAGCCAACAGAGAAGCTGTGGGTGCATAGTATCAGTCCTCTTTCTACCGTAAAGTGTTCAACTTAATGTGCAGACTTTGGGATACCTCAGCAGGGGACCCATCTCCTCTGCAGAGGATCAAAATTGTGATGGTATGTCATTGGATATATCCCTATGGATGTTTCCCAGGCTGCTGTCAGTAGCCCATTGTGCAATGCAAATAAAATAATTCATCATTATCAAGGTTCTTTTTATGCCAGTCTGGCGCATTAGTACTACTATTATGCATAGAAATAAAAGTTGCCTTACTAATTTTCTGATTCTTGTTAGGGAAAAAAAAAATTACCTGACATGATTTTTAATATAGAAAAACAATTTCAATATCTTAAGCTGACATCAGCCACCATTTAATAAAAATTAAGTTTACTTGAAATTTTTTGTTTGCTATTTTACATCATTATTATCATTTGTTTATAATACTTGCTATTATTATTCAAAATTAAAAGCTTAAAAAATAAGTGGTAAGTATTATCACAATATATCCGTACAAAAATTATTGTCTTACAAATGCCAAATTTTGTCATAACATTTTTAGTCACATTAATCTGATCACCACTTACTTATGACACCAATGTTAAATAATCAGTCGCAGAAGTCACGTGGCAGCACATTGCAGTGTTGTGTTTATAAAGGGTGTCTGACGAAATTTTGAAAACACTGTGCAATGGTTGGCGTAATGCAGAAACAAGAATGTCATACAGCTCATGTGTACATTTGTAGTTTAAGAGCATCAGAATGAGTTTACTATACACCCCTGGCCAATAATTTTAAACCAATCAAGATTTTTGAATTTATTATTAATGTGGAGCCACCTGAATTTATTATTAATGTGGAACCACCTGAATTTATTAATGTGTGACCATTAATTTTATGAGTTAGAATAATCAATTTTTACCAATTTATTTATTTTCCAACATACTGAATTGTGATAAGGGTGATAGAAATTCACTCTTTTACTTTTCTGGGTATAACATGTCAGCAGCAGCTTTGATTTTTATATTCCAAGCAAAAACTGAAATAAATTTGCAATTAAGGAATTTTTTCAAACAATTCATTTATTGTTATTTACAGTTGCACATTACAAAAGTAAAAATTTTTTATCTTTTGCTTTTCTCTCATTAATTCAATAATATGAGTATCACGTTTTTCAAACAAAACTTAAATATTAACACATTAGCTACTGTATAAAATAAAGGTATAATTCTTTGTGTATCAGGATAAGAATAAATTAAAACTGTGTAAGGAAATTTGAATTATAGAAAATTCTAAAAATACTTGAGATTTACTTAGTATTTAATAATCTGAAGATGTTTATTCTGCCGTGCAATAGAAAAATTAACATAATCCACAAAAAGATTCAAAATTAAATTTTTAATATATTTGGTGTTTTTGTATGATTTGCTATTAATTGAAAAAAAAAAATTCAGAAATTTTGTTTTATCTTTCTTTTGAAATTTTATCTTAGTGTTCAAAACATTAGTGTTAGAAAGAATGTAGTTGTCAAGGTACTTTTCTCAAAATGTATTATTAGGCATTTACTTTGTTTTTTCGATTGCACGGCAGTATTATTATTAGAATCTCAGGTATTCATTATTCTTAGAATCTTAGATTCTTCTTATTATTAGAAAATATTGTTTCATTTAGTCCATGAATATTATCTGTAATCTAAACCGCATTCTATTAAATAAAATGTTTACTGTGTACCATAAATGGTTCGTATAACAGCTAATGTGTTAACCTCTTGCCTGCCGAGGAAAATTTTGAGATTCACCACCCAGTGCCAATGGTTTCCACAGAGTCACATATTTTTATGGTGTGTATTGAAGAAGAAAAAAAAGCCACGCTTTTCAACCAAAAATCTGTTTACTTTTACGAAAGAAATACGAGAAATAACAATATGTCTTTGAGGGAAACCTGTGGCCACCCAGTTCCACTGGTTTCCACTGAAGCGAAAGAAAAGTGAAAATGTGCATACTACTCAAAAGAAGCACATGCAATAAACTGCACAGCTGTGATTTACTTTCGAGAAAAAATTTACCTTCTCTCTCCCCCTCTTGTCTGAAATCCTTTGAAAACACTCTCAAGGTCATTCTATTGCACTCCTAAGCTGTGGGAGTAGTTTTACTGATAACAGCACATGGCAAAGCGCAATGCGTACTTTGGAAAGGCATATGCATGGCTTGTACCATTTGTAAAAATTGCTTAAAGGTACTTATTTTCGATTTTGGTTTATTAAAAGCTCTTGAAGGTGGTTTTTTATTGGGAGTTTTTAAAAAGTGTTCAATTTTCCTTTTTTGAAATTAAACTTTTTTCTTTTCCTATGCGATTTTTGCCACGTATTATGCAACAGTCTGTTTTTCGCATTGTTCTTTTCAAGGTTTTCATAATTCATTCGAACACAATGTTTTTACCCACGGTATGTAACGTATGAAAGTGCCAATAATCTTACATGGTTGAAGAAAAACTTGCGGGTCCGCATGCTCGTTTACTGAGCTAGATTGGGTGAGATTCTCGCACTTTCATGTGCAACTCTGCTGCATTTTGCGCAATATTCTCAATTTCAGGCTTCATCTTTTTATGGCAGCTAAAACGATCAAGAAAAAGAGTTCTTTGTCAGAAACTAGTTATTTTATCATGATCATGTAAATTCTTGGAAAATTATTTTGCATTTCGTTATTGTATCTAGTGCTTAAAAATATTTTTAGTGCTTAAAAAGTACTCAAAAGGTGCTTATTTTTTGTTGAAAGATTTGCACACCCTGGTATATATATATATATATATATATATATATGTAGTGCCAGTTCCTATCTGTAGTGCCAGTTCCAATCTATAGTACCAGTTCCTGTGCTGTAAGCTGATNGGATGACAAGGGGTTACTGTACTTAAGTTTTTTACCGTCAATATCAGCATTTTAACTTATTAAACAAACTCAAAATATTGCTGAGCATTATAATCTCTCTCTTTTTTTAGTCATGGAAGTATAATGGGAGCCTCGAAAGGAAACGGAAAGAAAAAACCGAACATTTATAAAAAGGTACCTTTTTTACTTAATATAAAACCATGGCATGAAATTTCTGTTTAAAAGACACTAGCCAAACTAAAAGTTATGCTTGCCACTATTTTACATTCATGGAAAATTTAAACTTTTTTTAAAATGTTAATTATAACTTTTAAAATGTACTATAAAAAAACTTATTGGTGACATAAAAAAAATGTATTAATAATAATCTCAAATCAAAATAAGGTTGTCTTATTAAAACTTCCAAAAGTAATAATTTGGAACACAAATTTTTGAAATTTACTTTAATACATATTCCCCTTCAAACTTGGCTTATACTTGTGCTATTATATGAGTTTTTTCTCGTATGATTTTCTACATAAAAGGGGAAAATATATTACTTTAATTAGACCTGTTTCATTGCCATTTTGTTTATCAAGTAATACTAATTATAAAAATAAAGTTAAATTGAGTGTATCAGTAAATTCTGTCAAAATCTGAATAGTTGCTCCAGACTTTTCTGAAATACCAAACATCTTCATCTAATATTATAACTAATATAGGACTTTTATTTAATCCGTGCTTAGTTTTTTGCACTTGTTTTAAGAGGAAAAAAAAATTTCTTTTAGAAAGTGTGAGGAAAAAATACATAACAAGTGTGAGAGTGTCTTGTAAAATCTACTCAATAATGGTGAATAAATAAGAATTCTCAAATAACTCTGTTCATTATAATTTACATGGTATCTGTTAAAGCTTAATTTGTATTATGCTTTATCTTCCTTTTCTTTACCCATATTTAATATACATTTTATTTAGTTTATTTAGTTAGTATGTTATTTAGTTTCTTACTTCATAAAAATTATTTAAATCAATGATTGTTTTTATTTTAGTTATCAAAATCTTTAAAATCAAATAGCTTTGGAAAAAAAATTTAAATTTATTTCTTTTTTTTTAAATATTGTATATATGCACAGAACAAGCTTTTCTTTTTAATTGAAGTATTCTGATGTGGAAGTATGTAATGTATTAAAAAATGTATTTTAATATTGAGAAGCTATTTGATTTTTTGTTGAATATGTGACACAGTTTAACAAAGATATTAATGAAATGATTTTTAAAAAAGCATCATGAAAGTATGGAGCATATAAACTTTTTGTGTTGTGTTACTAACCTCTTTCCTTTTATCTCATTTATTATTTATTTTTTATGCTAATTTAAATTTTCTAGCATTTATAGTTTGTTATATAATTTAATCTAGTTTAACAGCTATTTTTTATAAATGATACATTATTTATTATTTCAATAGGGTCTTTAAAAATATTTTTAATTTTTTTTTTCTTTTCAACAAATGTCAGCTTCAGATTGAAATATTTGTCCAATTTTAAAAATTGTTTAGAGTATTGTAGTTTTTAATAATCTGGAAAGGTATTTTTCTTTGTTAATAAAGTAAAAGCTTTAGGTTGTAGCATTTTTAAATGCAAATTTTTTTTTCCTTAACATTATTACATAAAATTCAAAAAAAATCCCTGTTTCTTATTTTGTACATCATTTCTAGCCTGATGGTGTACAAGAGAGAAAACTATATGAATGCCCACTTTGTTGCTTTGGATTTACAGATATTCAAGCATGTGCTAACCATGTTAATGACTGTCTTGATAAACATGAAGCTGCTTTTGACTAAAGTTATGTGAGGATTAGACTATTTGCTAGTTCTTAGATTCTTGAAATAAGTTTTTTTCCACCATAATATTCATCAAAGAATAAAAGAGAGTTTAGAAAAATTCAAGAAATAATTAGAGAGAACTTTAGTTTTTGAAGGTTGCTTATAAAATGAAGCTTTGAGTTGCAGCACTTTTAAATTTAACATTTTCATTTAATATTATAACTTAAAATTGAGACACTTCCCTGTTTCTTATTTTACACATCGTTTTTAGCCTGATGGTGTGCAAGAGAGAAAAATTTATGAATGCCCACTTTGTTGCTTTGGATTTACAGATATTCAAGCATGTGCAAACCATGTAAATGACTGTCTTGATAAACATGAAGCCGGTTACAACTAAGAACTTATTATTCAAGCTATATTACAGTGTTTGACACGATTCCTTGTTTTGTGTAAAATAAGTTTTAGTGCTTTTAAGGCATCTCTAATACTTTTTCATATGCATTACCTCTAAATCTTTAATTCATAATACTATGTATCACAATATTTATCTTCAAGATAGAAATGTTAAATAATATTAATTGAATTCAAGTTCAGTTTTAAAAATCACATATATTTCAAAAATACGACATTTATTTTGACAATTTTAGATGCCTTGTGAATATTGTAGAAAGTAAGATTATGTATATTATTTTACTATAAATGTTTCTGCTAACTATTACTCAAAAATTACTTTTGATCTATATAGGTTAACTGAAGTATAATTTGTTAAAGTCTAATTAGCTTAAATTATTTTGTACTTTAAATTTATTATTGTTTATATCTAATTCACATTACTAATTCTCAATTATTTTTACATTAATTATTGTCATCATAGTTAGTAATAAAATATTTTTATTTACGGCATTTAGCATTTGTAACTATACTAAAAATTATTATAAAGTTACAAAATGTATTATTACAAGTTAGTAGTTTCTATTCAAATTGTTTTTCTTAAATTTTATTTTTTAGAATTTTAAAGAAAATGTTTAAAATAAATGGTATAAAAGTTTTTTTTTNTTTTTTTTTTTTTTTTTTTTTTTTTTTTTGGAGTGGGTATGTAGAAAGAATGATTTTTATTCTTAAATTTATATTAAAATGTACATTACTAAAGATCTGAATGGTTTTTGATATTAAAATTTCCAAGATTAGTTTATTTTAAAATTTCTTTTTTGAAACATGAAACAGAAGCTTCTGCTTGAGCATACAAGTGGCTTTATGAAGCCACTGTATAAGTAGTACAATTATTTTATACTTTAAAAATTATTATTTAATGAGCAATACAGTTTTATAGAATTGTTATATGTGCAAAAGTGAATAAAAAAGTTAGCGATCTGTCTTAATAGCATTGTTACTGTTTCCATTGTTACTTTTATGCAGAAATGAGATAAAAAAGATATTTTGTTCAGTTTCTTCAGTTTTTCTCCTCACTGTACTTAAAATTTCAATTAGCAATGTGCATTGTTATTGTTACTCAGGATGCGCCACGTTTTTAAAAAGTGCTTAGTTTCGATTTTCGTTTTTTAAAAGCTTTTAAAGGTGCTTTTTTTATTGGGTGTTTTTAAAATGTGCTTACTTTTCACTTTTCTAAAAAGAGTTTTTTTTCTTTGTCATGTTGATTTTGCCACGTTTAATGCAAAAGTGTGGTTTTCACATTGTTCTATTCAACGTTTTCACAAATCATTCAAACACAATCTATTTCGACGTACCGTCATTCTGTAGTGTATAATTTTACATGCCAATCATTTTACATGTTTGATGAATTGCTTGCTGGTCCTCATGTGCATATATCAAGCGGGATTCAGTGGGAATTGTTTTTGCACTATCATGTGCATTTCTGCTGCATTTTGCAAGAGATTCTCAATTTCCAGCTTCATTTTCCATCCTCTGAAATTGAACCGAAAAATCTCTCATCTTTTTATGGTAGCTTATGTAATCAAGAAAGAGTCCTTCGTCAGAAACTATTTATTTTATCATGATCATGTAAAGTCTTTGAAAATTATTTTGCATTTCGTTAATGTATATAGTGCTTAAAAAGTACTTCAAAGGTGCTTATTTTTTGTTGAAAGATTTGACTATGCACACTGTTACATATACTTTCCAAAAGGCAGCAACATAAAATGAGCTTAATTGTAAGTTTTACGTCTCTTATTCACGCCATAAACATATCAAATGATTTTAGTTCACGATTATGTATACAAATTATATATATATTCATAAAAAAGAATTTGTTGACCTATTGTAATACTAGTTTATAGGATATTATGTATTTTATGCTTTAAATCATCTGAGGGTCTTGCATGCTATTAAGAAAGAAAATTGTGCTTTGTGGGAAAACATGCTTGCAAGTTTTTTAATTTGTAATAGCCCCTAAATATTAGCTTAGTAAACATTTGTATTAGTGCTTGCAACTTTAGTAGCCATGTGTTGTATGTGTTGGTTTGTTTTGTGTTGTACCTTATTTAACTAGTAAGTCATTGAATTTAATTCATATGAATATCTTCATTTTCGATCTAACATATTAATTTAAACAAATCATGTATTTTATTAGGCAATTGAAGCGTTTAAATAACTATTGTTACTTCTTTTTATTGTTAGATTAATAGTTATGATTGTTTTCTTATTTGTTAAGCTGATATGGAAAATATAGCAGAGATTTATTTTCTCATTTTAAGTATTATTTACTTTTGTGTTTTATTGTTTTGAATATGCGATATTCCTTGAAATTTCTAGATGCTGAGTATTTAATTTATTTTGCATTAATTTGCATAAAGTATTTGTATTTGCAAATTTGACCAGACTTTTTTTTCCTTCCTATTTTGTGCTTTATTTACAATCCTTAAGCAACTGATTTTTTAAATAAATTTAATATTTACTTATGAAGTATAATAAAGTTATGAAACATAGTAAAGTTATTTTCTATGTGATATTCTTGAACAATGGGGTTATATGCTATGTTTTTTAGTTACAGTTTAATTTTTATTCAATAATTATTTTGTAACTTTTCGAGCTTTACAGAGATAAAAACTTAATAATATTCTCTAGTTTAAACTTATTAAAAATTTTGATTAAATGAACGAAATAATATTATAGTAAAACAGTGGTTTTTTATTTGTATCACCATCCCTAACAATTAGTTCAGATAAGTAGAAATACGGACCCAATTTTGGATATACGGCTAGTACTAATGTTCAACTCTGTAGTCTTATAATTTTGTACCCAATCCCGAAGACAAGGAAACCCCTGGATCAGTGCTCCCAGAGGTATGATTTGTTATGGGAACATGGAGAACTTTGTGACTCAGTCAGTCACTATTTACTACACAGGAAGTCTTCCTTCGTTGGGGATCGAACCTACGACCTCTTGGGACATGGGCCCAGTGCCCTACCAGCCAGACTATCGCGGCCCCCTATATACTTATTAAAATATTTTATCATATTTTGAGCTGTACACAGACATTTATTGCAATTTTAGATTTTATTTAATTATTTAACTGTTTTCAGCTGGAGTTAAAACTAAAAGATGAACTCTTTTGTTGTCCTCTTTGTTTGAAAGGATTTACAAGTCTTCGAGCAGTTGAAAGCCATGCCAATGATTGTATTGATCAATCAGAAAAATCACATTAAAATTGTGCCACTGTAGGAGAAATAAAATATGTTACTTATTCATTTATAAAATATTTTCAAAATAGACATTTCACATAAAACTTAATATTATGTGTTAACATAGTACAAATATTTTTCGCATACCAGTTGCAAGAATGCTAACTACTGTAAATTTAATACAATATCTAAGGAGTTATCTAGTAATCATGAATAATCCAATTTTTATCTTTTTTAAAAAAATTAATGGAATGATAAAATAGAATGAATGAAATAAAGGGAATGAATGAAAAAATAAATTGATGTTGTATAAAATGTGAATTTGGGTTTATTGTTTATTTTTATGTTTTTCAAAATTAAGAGACAAATTTGCACTTTTCATGTTTAATAGACTTTCAGAAACTAAATCTAAAAACTCTTTTGGAAAACCCTGTTTCTATAGTTAAATGTATTTTCATTGCTTGGAGAAAAATAATTTGTAATCAACATTTAAAAATTATTAATTTTGCATTTTAATATCACTAAAGAAGAGTATCATTGAAAATTATTTTTACTTAGAATTTATTAAACTGTATGCCAACATTGTACTTACAAATGCTAAACGATTTTCAAATTTGATGCAAATTTTTAAGAAAGAATAAGTTTGTGGATTTTTAATTTTTACAGTTTATATTTTAATTATTATACGTACAGAATGTTTTAGTTTTATTAATGAAGCAAATGTTCTGAGTAACTTATTTAAAGTCTTAGTTTTGATGCGTGAAAAATAATAGACTAGTTTTGTTACCTTTAATTGGGGTTTTCAAAGAAAAGCTATACCAAATACAAAGATCAAAATGTAATTATGTGCCTTATGTTTAAAGTATACTATATTTTACTACTTGCTTGTAATGGTAATTTTATTTTGATTGTAATTTGTTGGTTAATATTGTAAATATTGTTGAAAAATAAAACCTCTGTTGAAAAGCTAGCAAGTCTTTCATTAAAATATGGGTGAATCATTTTTTCTTTAGCTCTGTATCATTTTTACAGGTTCCTGTTAAAATATTTTAGCATAAGCTATTATAATAAATATATTCCTGCAGTAAAAATAAAAATATTTTTTTCCTACAAAAACAATAAATTTCACATAGTGTTATACTTATTTTAAATTGAATTTTCAATTGTTGTTTGTAACTAAATGATAGTTGCTTAAGTGTGGTGATTTGTTTCTAACATTTACTCATTTTTTAATTGCACTGTTTAACTGTTTCTTATTTTTGTCTGACTGTAAATTATGTACGTATTATAATATATATTTCAATATTAATGTATGTTGTATTAATATATATGTATAATTCATTTATCGATATGAATCTATAATATCAGTATATAAATGTATTTCGATCATTTTTTTGACTGCAAGTATTGGTGCCATAGTTATTCAAATAATCCAGCAACGTTATCCATTGGCACAGTAAATATTGAATGTGATATTTACTAGAGTTACATCAATTTAACTTGGCACATAAGCATGCTAAAGTGTTGAATACTGCTAAATTAGATTGATGTTTAATTATAGTGTTATTTTAGTTTATTTTTTGATTGTGTATATTAGTTATTCCTTGTTAAAAAATAAAAGTTTTCACTAATTTCGGGTTTGTATTTGTTTCTCCAGTTTCATCGGACATTAACAAAATAACACAATACCTAAATTTTCAAAAATATAAATTAAAACTATAGATCAAATTAAAAGGTTTAAAAAAAATCTTATCACTCATTTTCTTTCTCTTACTTTTATTTTTGATTTTATTGCATGTAAATATTTTTACACTATAGTTATCTACAATGTGTGTAAAGAAGTTACACTATGATTAATGTTGATATATTGTACATTAATCATAGTGTACTGTGTAGACTTGAATCAAGAGTCTAAATCTGAAAGTATTTCTTTTTCCCATTAACATCATTATGAAAAAGTAAAATGATTTTGTAAGCTTTGGTTTAACATAAAAGTTAGGTTTTTAAATCAATTATTACTTCATCTGCTGAATATCTTCTCAACCAAGGGTAAATTTAAAAAAAAATAGGAATTAGTAAATTAGTGTTGGTTGAATGAATAAGAAATAGTTGGTTGAATGTATAAGAAATAGTTGGAATAAATTGATGTTTTTTACATTACGCAAGAGCTCGAAGAAGTCACTTGGTGCAGCATTTAACAAGCTTCGTAAAGAAGGTCGTTGCAGCTGTCTAGGCAGGATAATTGTTCCTCTAAAAATCCACTGATCTAACTTGATAGCTTGTGCATGCACAAACTGAAGAATGATGCTTTTTGTTTATCACTTTGCCGCACCTCTGCACTGTTCTCAAAACTAAAAGACTTTTACCAACACAGTTAAAAAATATAGAAAAAGTTTTCTTAAGTTTAATTTTAACTCCTTCTCTACTCAAATTTGTTAGATTAAGAAAAACGAACATTTCCCTTTGTTAAAAGGATCATTTCAGAGCATGCTTGATAAATGCATGTCTCCAGAAAGATTACAAAGCAATAAGAATTCCAAACTTATGAATTTTGTACATTTGTCTTAGAATGAAATAAACAATTTCAGTTCGTACGTTGTGTCCAATCCTTTATGTACTTGTTCATAGCTTCATTTATTTAAATAGCAAATTTAATATTCAAGTTGAATAGCTCAAATTTCTACTGTTTCATTTACTGGAGGAGGACAAAATTTATAACAAGCTATATTTTATAGTAAATAAGTAAAATAAAAAAAATCTATTATTTTATTATCTGTATTTCGGCAGTGTTTGTTAATATACAATGTACCCAAGGTTCAATCGTGCAAAATCTAATTTTTTAAAATATTTCTTTCGCTTTGAATATTTTAGAATATTTCTTTCATGTTTATTTGTTCATGTGGTTCAAGTCTTGCAGTAAAACTTTTTGACCATTTTTTCATTAACTAGAGTGCTCAAAATATTAATTTTTGGTCAAATTCCTTAGGGTGTCATATTTGTCCTGATTTTTCTGATAAAAATACTTTGTTCTGATGTTCAGCTGTTCTGTCTTGATATTCCGGATTGTTTTGTATGTTTAAAACATTACGTTTTCTTCTAATAAAATTCCGATTTTAATATAATCAAATTGTACAATCAAAGATTCAGATTTTCGATCCAACACCTTTTTTTAAATTTAATTAGTGATGCTAGAATTTTAAAAAATCGCAAACTGCAATCAGTTCAAGCTTAATAGGCCGCCATACCACCCGAGAAACTTTTCGTCGCATTTTCTCTTTCACCTCCATTACTAATTTAAAAGAAAGAATAAGAGAGTTCAGGCACACCTAGAGTAAGCCATTAAGTTTCAAATTGATGAGAAAAAAAAAATTCAAAATATGAAAGCACAAACAAAGTATTGGAAGATAACTTTTCCATTTCGTAATCCTAAGTTATCTTCTTATAATTTATTTTTATTCCGATATTCTAAAAATTTAATTTCAGTATTTGAAACTTCACGGCTTACTTTAGATTTGTTTGTACTCTTTCTATATTTTAAATAAGCTATGGGGGTGAAAGAGAATTTGTGACAAAAAATTTCTCCCGTGGTGTGGCATCCTCCATACATATTGCCTTACGCACTGTATTCATTGTTTCAAACTTTATAAGAATTCAGTTATTTTAAGAACTATTCACTTATGATGATATTCGCTTAATAATTTTGCATTATCAAATATTTATTGTAATGAATTCAGAGCTTTTTTTTTCAAGTGCAATAACAAATTTCGTTGTCGAGTGGAGTTATGTAATGTATTTTCGTAATCTCTGATTCAACTGAATTTAAAACTGATCCCAATCAACAATACAGTCATCATAGAATTTTTAAATGGAGGAAGTAAGCAATCATACACAAAATTTCTTTTGTTCAAAAATAATAAACGACATATTCATAGTATAGTCGTTTCAAGATTATTGAAAACGATACTTTAAAAGTATTTGATTAAGGAAGTTAAACATTGGTATTCGCAAATATTAACTAATTGATACTGGTTTTTCTTTTTTTAATCCAACAATGCTATAAAAATTCATGTATTGATCTCTAACTACTATTGTGCCATTAATAAGTTTGTACTGGAAACTAAAAATTTTCTTTTCTGAACAGAGTATCTCTGGTATTAAAAATTATTTGTATTATTGTATTTTTGGGATAAAAATTTCCTTTATTTTTGAATCTGTAGAGCGAATTGTATTTTTTTCTTCGTATTTTGCTTGCCCTTTTTAAAATAAGTCTGGTATACCATATATATCGATACCAAAATATCCCTTTACTTTAGTCCAATTTTTTTTACCCAGTTTTGATGCCTGAATTCAAGACAATTGTTAATGTGCTCAAATTTCTGATCGCAATAAACTTCGATCACTTTAAAATAATTCTTTTCTGGCTTTTAGTCCACTTGATAAAAGGTTTTTTTCAAAATCTGGTTTATTTGGTTCAATTTTCAGCTCTGAAAATAATCTTTCTCGTGAAGTTGTTAAAATTGTTGTTTTCATTATAAGTCTTATGCATTTTAATAAATAAAAAAGGAACGTTTGTTTAGAGAAAATTAAAAAAAAAAACAAAATGCAAGAAAAGAAGAAAAAAATAAAATAAATTTAAAAGAATTCACATATAGCAGAATCTTTGCCAAACATAGTTAATTAATCAGTGGGTCAACGCATTGGGTCAGTGTATTTAATGTAGCTGCTTTAACAGAAGTGGAAATATTAAAAATGTAATGACAGTGATGAAAAATAAATATATGCTTTAAACTTTTTTTTTGGTTAATTTTTAGTAATTTTTCTAAATAATCGAAGACAAAAGAAAATCTTCTATGATTTATTTCTTCCCTAAGAAAATGGAAGGAAATTAGATTCTCTCTCAGGAGATAAAAAATTTCAACACGTTGCCAAAACATAATCCTAATTAATTATCGATCAGCAGACGATCTTTCCTACTGACTAATTTAATTAGATCAAACGAAAAAAACGCCCCATCTTGTTCG